GGTGAAAAGTAAATGCAATGCTCACGCTCTCCCTCTCCTTCCATCTCCTTCTTTGTGTGTGTGTGTGTGTGTGTGTGAAGAGGGGGAAATGGAGTTGTTGTTGTGGTTGTTGTTGCTGGTGTTTTTGTTGTTGCTAATGCTAAGGTGAGTTGCAGATGGTGAAATATTGTATGGATTCACAGAGAAAAGGCACCAAGGCATGGGTGCACTGCCCTGAGACCTTAAATTTTTCTGCTGTACTTTTGCATAAAGCAAAAATATATGCAATTGGGGGTGATGATGCATTTTTCTCAACCTCTAGCGGCTTCTGCTAAAGCAACGTGGCGTTAAGGGCCTTGCTGATTGACAATCGATGTCAACTATCCTTAAAAGTTGACTAACGTTTGTGAAATACGTCGGGTGGAGGAGTTTTAAAAACCATTCTTTGATTACAAATAACCATCGGGGAAACATTTTTAAGCCGTCTTAGGGGAGACAATTTTCTTCTGACTAAATAATAAGGGTGAAGGAGGTTGTTTGTTTTACTAAGAACGGATGAAGGAAAAGGGCCGGGTGTTTCAGCTAAGAACATAAGATGAATTAACAAAATTTGAAGCTATTCAAAGCGGTTTGAGAAAAAACATGTGAATTCAAGGATCTGCTGAAAATAGACTGCAAGGAGGCTGCATAGTATATAAAATTTTGCACTCCTGAGGACAATCAAAGGCAGTTCAGGTGAATCGGTTGTTCGAGTTGGGGATGATGCAATCTGTTTCACCTAAACATCACATTGAGTTTATTAGTGAACTTTTCTTGAACATGGAATAGCTCTGACAATTCGCACAGCAATTGACCAACAATTGAGATCTGAAGGTGCCAGAGAGAGCATTTGCCAAGGTTGTAGACAGCAACAATATCAACCAGTGACTTTGAAACTGTCTAATTGGAGTTCTGGACATGTAGCGTCACCAATGCTGTCAATGAAAGGGTACGAAGGTGGAAGATTTCCAACTTTTGAGCAGAAAATGAACCCTTTGTTAGTGAGGGGCAAACATTTAACATCACAAAAAAACTTATTTTTGTACGTGCATAGAACAGATCATTGCCAAAATAACGTAAAGATTTGTTTATAAACTGTGACAAAGTGACTAAAGATTGTGACAACCGTAGGAGAGGAAGTGGACTCTACACTTTAGGATGGCACGGGTTCCAACAATCAGCATGCAAACACATTGCAAATGTGTTCTAAGGGATCTCTGACTCACTATGAATTCAAGTTGATTCAAGACACTGCAAAGTCGGAGCTGCAGCACAAGAGGTCAAAGTAGACAAGTGGTTAGGCTGCAACTGCACTTTGCCACGTAAAAGAAAGTAGAATGAGGTAACTTCATGTCACGCAGCATCAATGCATAAGTTTTGAAAGTGTGTGGAAGACATTTTGATGAGTCGCGGATGGTGATTCAGTGAGTTTGAGGATAGAGAGGAAAAAAAGATTTGCATTTCATACAGCGCATGAAAATTAGTATTATAAAAACGGCAACTGTAAGAAGCTGCAAAGTGGAATTGAGGGGAAAATCCACCTGACTACGTTGGGAATGGTTTGGGTCCTCCTTCATCACACTTAGGAATGACGTCCACCGCGTCCACTCACTGCTTGCAAAGGGTCACAGCAACACAAACGCCCTCCACACGTGGCATCAGCATTGCCAACCAACTTCTTCGTGGTGGCGGTCGGACCAAGTCATGCCAAGCCCGGTTGCACCAGAACGTGTCATACTGAGTCAAGTCCGCTCAAACCACTTTACCGCAGCCAAAATGCCCTGATTGTCACAAGGCTGAGCTCCAACCACCCAATCTCTCCGTCTCACCACCACTCAATTGTCCTCACACTGCCAT